GTGATGCTAAAAATTCTGCTTTTAATGATCTTTATAATAGATTAGATACTAAGGAGGGTGAAAAATATATGTATAAACTAGCCAAACAAAGAGAGAAGAAAAGTAAAGATTTAACTCAAGTAAAGTGTATTAAAGATGAAAATCAAAAAGTGTTTTTCATAGAAAAAGATATTCAACATAGATGGGTGAAGATAGAAGGGTGAAGTATTTTGATAAACTTCTTAATGAAGTTTCTGAAAATACAATCGACCTTAGCAATCTTAATATGGTTAATAATAATAAAACGTTTGATTTTTACCGTCACATTGGTAAAAAAGAAGTTGAGGAGGCTTTAAAGAAAACCAAGGGTGGAAAGCTTGTAGGACCTGATGATATCCAATTGAAGTATGGAAATGTTTAGGAGATTTGGGAGTTTCTTAGCTTACTAAACTCTTTAATATTATTTTAAAAACTAAAAAAATGTATGAGGAGTGGAGGAAGAGTATTTTGGTCCCCATTTTTAAGAATAAAGGGGATGCACAATAGTGTGCAAATTATAGAAGAAATAAGTTGGTGTGTCATACTTTAAAATTATGGGAGAGGGTAATTGAAAATACGTTAAGACATATTACAAAGATTTCTCATAATCAATTTGGATTTATGTCGGGCAAGTATACTATGGAAGCTATACATTTATTGAGAAGTTTGATGGAGAAGTAAGAGACAATAAGGAGAATCTGCATTTGATTTTTATTGATTTAGAACAAGCTTACAATAAGGTTCCAAGAGAAATCCTTTGGAGAGCCCTTGAGAAGAAAGATGTTGATATGACTTATATTCAAGTCATTAAAGATATGTATACGAACTGTTACTCATGTTCGAACTGAAGGAGGATTGACCAAATATTTTCCTATTTCTGTTGGATTACATTAGAGATCACTTTTAAGCCCATATTTTTTTGCTTTAGTTATGGATGGCCTTACTGGACATTTACAGGAGGATGTACCTTGGCGTACGCCTTTTGCTGACGATATCCTTCTCGTGGATAAGACGAGAGAAAAAAACTCAGGAAAAACTTGAATTATGGAGGTCTACATTGGAGCCTAAAGACCTTCATTTGAGTAGAACTAAAACTGAATACATGGAATGTAATTTTAGTAGTAGCAGATCTAGTGACAAAAGTGTAACTTTGGGTGATCAAAAT